GACTTTTATGTCTAGTTTCTTTCACTAAGCAAAACGTTCTCAAGGTTCATCCACATTGTAACATGTTATGAGTACTTCATTCCTTTTTTGGCTAGATAATATTCCATTTTACGGATATACTATATTTTGTTGATCCATTTAACAGTTAATGGACACCGGGTTGTTTCCATTTTTCACTATTATAACTAATACTGCTATGAACATTCATGTACAGGTTTCGTATGGACATATGTTTTTACTAATTCTCTTGGGCATATACCAATAGGCGGAATTGCTGAATCATATGTTACTCTATGTTTAACTTTCTGAGGAACTGCCAAACTGTTTTCCAAAGCCACTGTACCATTTTGCAATCCTACCAGCAGTGTATAAGGGTTCCAATTTCTCCATATCCATACCAATATTTTTTAACTTTTTTTATCCTGACTATCCTAGTGGGTGTGAAATGGTAGCTCTTTGTGATTTTATTTGCATTTTCCTTACATCTAATTATATTGAGCTTCTTTTCACGTATTACTGGCCATTTGCATATCTTCTTTGGAGAAATGTTTATTAAGACTCTTTGCTCATTTTTTTAATTGTGTTATTTGTCTTTTTATTGTTGAGTTTTAAGAGTTCTTTATACATCTGGATGCCAGACCCTTATCAGATACATAGTTTGCAAATATTTTCTCCCATTTTGTGGGTCATCTTTTCATTTTCTTGATAACGTCCTTTGACACACAAGTTTTGAATTCTGATGAAGTACAACTTACCAATTTTTTCTTCGATTGCTTGCACTTTTGGTGTCAAATCTAATAAACTGTTGCCTAATCTAAGGACACGAAGATTTACATTTATGTTTTTTTCCTAAGAGTTTTATAGTTTTAGTTCTTACATTCAGGTCTTCGATCCATTTTGAGTTAATTTTTATATATGACATTAGGTAGTTGTTGATGTTAGCTGCCATTAAGTCGATTTAGACTCATGGCGACCCCGTGTGTGCAGAGGAGAACTGCTCCATTGGGTTTTCAAGGCTGTGACCTTTCAGAAGCAGATCGCCAGCCTGTCTTCCGAGACGCCTCTAGATAGGTTCAAACTGCCAACCTTTCAGCTAGTAATCAAGTGCTTAACTGGTTGTGCCACCCAAAAACTCCTTATGGTGTGAGGCAGGGGTCCAAATTCATTCTTTTGCATGTGGAAAGCCAGTTGTCCCAGTACTATTTGTTGAAAAAACTATTCTTCCCCACTGAATGGTCTTGGCACCCTTTTCAAAAATCAACTGACCATAGGTGTATGAGTTCATTTCTGGACTCTCAATTCTATCCTGTTGATCAATATGCCTATCCTCCATGTCTCTTTCTGACTGCACCTAGCATAGGGTCTGGCTTGCAGGAAGCACTCAACAAGACTTGTTAGCTGAATAAATCTCTCTGTCAACATAATAGCTGAATAAATCTCTCTGTCAACATAATAAAATGATAGGATTTTTGAGCTGAGAAATACCTTATAGAACATTATCGTATTCAATTACATAATAAACAAGGAAACTGAAGTCTAAGAGAGGTTAACTGACTAGCTAGAACTCAAGAGATCAAATTCATTAGAGGCAAAGGTAGGATCAGAATTCAGGTTTCCTAACTTCCAATGAAGGGCTTTTTCCCTAACATCATGGTACCTTTCAAGTAAAACTAATTGCTTTAACATCCACCAATACGCCCATCTGTCTATGAAAACCTGCATGTATATAAAAAGACAGAGACATGTACATGCATGTTTAATCACAGTGGAACCCTTCATAAGTATAACTCACCAAAAAGCCTTATAAGCAATATGGGCTGGAAAATGATACAGCACAGAATACAATGTTTCCCTCCAGACAATTGTTCTGCAACTTTACTTTAAGCTCAAGAACATAACTAGTCACACTTTTGGTCTTCAGGTTATTTTTAACAGAATAAAACAATTTGTGTTTTAACAGTAAAAACCATAAAGCAATCAGATGCCTAGTTTCATCAGCCTGCTTTCTTTACCATTTCCTACCACTATTGTGATCCTTCATTCATTACCAAGTGTTATAAAGAACTGCAGAGAAATAGAGCTACCAGCATTAATCTGGCCTTCCTTTACCATCCAGAAATTAGTTTGCCTGCTTCCAAAAGCCAATAAAATTTAAGAGCTGGGGAGCAAAAAAACAAAGGGAAACAAATGAGCAGCTGTAAGATGCCTTCTAAAAGATACATAGGTAAGGAGGATAGTTATATATGATTGTGTATGATTTAGGGAAAAGAGGAAGAGGCTCAGTGTTCACACTTAATACTGCGCCGATATATACATGTGAGGGAAACGCTGTATGTGCACATAAAAATTACACGCATTTGAGAGCTGACCAGAGATGGATTACCTAATAAGCAAGGTACACACAGGTTTGCTTGCGCTTACTTATTAATCTGTAGTACATAATTTCACATGGGTTCACCACATCTTCGATGTGAAATTGTGCGCTACAGATTAGAAAGTAAGCAAAAGTAAGCCCGTGTATACCTTGCTTACTGGTTAATCCACTCCCAGAGCTGAACGTAATACATACAAGCAGACCATGAATTTTCTTGTAGTCAAGAAAATACTTATGCTTCCAAACTACAACTTCTTCTCTGAAACTTTGAGTCCCTCAAGCACCGTTAACTATTCCTCTCTCACTGTTGGCATTTTTCTTTCTACATTTTTCCACTACTGTAATTATTATAGTGTCTTCTAATAGCTACATTACACGTTTGTCTCCCCTCTAAACAACCACCTCATCGAGGGCAGAGCAATGTGTTTTCAGTGTAACAGCCAGTGTAGAATCCAGCTTAGCCCTGGCACATGGTAAGCACTTTATAACTCTTTGTTGAATGAACATTTTCAAAGTGTTTGTAATACTGAACACATCTGTTCAAAAGTGTCAATAGCAAGAAATCTGTTAATTCTTGCTGTGATAATTCCCAAACGTTACAGTTCACACATAACTCGCCAATACTTCCTTACTCTAAGTACAAACTTCAAAGGTAGCCAATTAGCTTTAAAAAAAAAAAAAAAAAAAAAAGAATTCAATATATGTAAAACTGAACATTGTAGTTGTCATCCATCTCTGCTTAATAAGGCATTTCTTTACTCTAAAACAGAAGAAAAGGTACAAGTAAGACTAATCAACCACAAGCAGCATGGTCTCAGTGATTCACAGGTGCTGCGAGATCTGTCTATAAACCAAAAAAAAACAAAAAACCATTGTCACCGAGTCAATTTCAACTTATAGCGACCCTAAAGGATAGAGCAGAACTGCCCCATAGGGTTTCGAAGGAGTGGCTGGTGGATTCGAACTGCTGACCTTTTGGTTAGCAGCTGAGCTCTTAACCACTGTGCCACCAGGGCTTCGAATATCTCTATGTAAAGAAATTCCTGACGAGAAATAAAGATACTTTGATGTGCGTAAGAAGTATGGGTAAAACAAAAGAATAAAATGACTGAAATACTGGAGTCTGAAATTTCAGTCCTGACTTCAAGATGTTTTCCACTGTGGCCTCCTTAGGAAGGTCACGTCAGCTCTCTGTGCCTCCTTCAGTTTCCTCTTCTGTTAGACGTGAGTAGGAGTGACTGCCTCACAAGCTCACTATGAGGATCAAAGGACATTGTTTAGAGAAAAACCCTAGCACAGATACCCAGACACCAGTACATAACAGACGCAAAATAATGCTAAGTCCCTTCCTACCTGGGTATCACCAAAGACAAGATCTACTTTGGGACATACTGTTTGCTATACATTTTCCCAAACTGCCAACTGTGTGCTGAGTCACTGAGTGAACTGTGATTTAAGGGGCCGAGTCAAAAAAACTCTCTCCTCTACAAATATCTCCCCCAATGGATGTCACGTGCTTGAAATTTTACCATAAGGAAATTTTCAAGAGTCTTAATTAAACGTAAAATAATCTGTCAGTACTTTAGTGTGTCTGTTCGTCTTTTTTAAGATAACCTGTCAAGGCTCATAGGTACTGGGGACCTCTTTTGATAGGGACAAAACAGAGAAGTCTACAAATGGACTACTAAATGAAAAGGTTGAGGGAGCAAGAAAAAAGGCAGTAAAAGGGTCCTAGACAAACATTTTCTACTTTATAATATTACTTATTATCAGTCCCATCTAACAGAATAACTACTCTACCTAAATCCATAGAAAATTCATAAATTCATCAGTAAACAAGTACATCGATTAAGTTTATTTTTATATTGAGAAATACATACGCCGGCCATAGATATGGATCCCATATATATTTCTCTCCTTAATATGGTTCCACTTTTATAGGCTCTACTCCTTTTCCTGTAATCTTTTCGTAATTATGATTAATTGCTTTCTTTGCTTTGTTTATATCATTGGTGCAATTCAAATTTTGTCGTATAAAATCACAGCTTTCAGTTTATATACTATATACTATAATAAAGTTGATCTTGGGCACAGATTAATTTTCTCCTCAATGAAAATGCTTGCCACATGATGGTTACTTTATGTTAATACTAATTAGAGACTCCTTCTGTGATTTTTCTCTGAAGTTTGATCTCTGTGGTCCCAGAAGCTCATTTGTCCACTTATCACAGTTAAAGCAGTATCTATTATCAAGAGGTGAAATTTTTCTTATTAAAGCAAAAAAAGAGAAGCCCTAAACTGAAATTTTATATTTTTGACCACTACCACCAAAGACAAGATCTACTCTGGGATATACTGCTGGCTAGACGTTTTCCCAAACTGTCAACCGCATGCTGAGTCGCTGGGTGAATTCTGAAAAAATCATAGCACAGATGACATGATAGCTATGCCATATGTTATTAATACAATTTACATAATAGAAAAATCAGAATCCTTACATTGTCTTTATAGATTTCACCAAGACAATGTAGTGTCCAAATTTATTCTTCAAATTTTATTCCTATTATTAAGGAGCAACCACTACCATTTTTTCCCCACGTTCCAGCCCAAATTCTCAGTCACTCACCCGCCCGCCATCTTATGAATCCTGTGCATCCTCTCCGCCTGTGGGCTCCACCAAAGAGGACTCTATAAAGTAAATGTGGAGACAATTATTGCCAAAAGTGAAAGAATTAGGGATTCTTAATATTTCTAGAAAGGTTAATAAAATAAGCCCTTGATTCATTAACTTAAGAGAGAAAGTCTAAATCCAAAAGCTAGAGAGTAGGAATGGATTTTACTCCAATTTACATCAATAAAAAAGCAAATATACCTAAGATTTAAAATATTTGAAACAGAACTTTTCAAAATCCAGCAAAAAAATAAGTTTTATACATATGTGGATAAAGATCTAAATGGTACTGGTACTTTCACACACTCACATAAAAACCCATCCTATCTACAGCTATAAACTTATCTACATACATATCTGTAAACCTACTGGCATTTGCGTCCACCTCCTCTCCTGTTACAGTGAAGAAAGCATCTCTCTGCGGCGTCCCTGCAGTCCTGTCCTCTTCCTACTTTTCCCTTAATTAATGTTATCACCATGCTCTCAGTCAATGAAGAACAAAATCACTGAATTATTTTTAATTTTCCTCTATTACCTCATATGTAAAATTTATGCCAAGTCCAAATAATGATAATGACGATAATAATAGGTTAAATAAATATGGCATTTTTTATGTTCCAAGCCGAGTGCTGAATGTTTTCCATAAATTATTTAATTCTCATAACTACCACAGAAGATAGGTACTATTATTTCCCCATTTTACAGATGAGAAAATTTTTAAGATAGGCTAAATAACCTCTCTACAGTGGATCCAGGCTACAGTGGTAGAGCCAGACTTAAACCAGCTTTAAGCCCTGGTTAACAGCTTTTAACCAATATTGTTCCACTGACATGTCTCTCATATTATTGAGTGTCTAATACATATCACTGAGTGTGCTAAGTGTAAGGGATAAAAATAGAGTTGCCCTTAAGGAACTCATCCATCTAATCACATACTATAGACAAACACATGGACTATCAGAGACGGACTACCAGAGTATGAGTTCCCTGAGGTCTGGTACTCAAGAAATGTTTATTGAAATAAACAGAAAAACCGTCAAACAATACTACAAGGTTGTGTCAGAGGAGTGGGTCAAATAAAGTAAAACAGGCATTTCCAGGAGGGAACGATTAATCCTGGGGCTGATTAAGGGAATGACTCTAAGACAAGGTAGAGTAAAAGTCATAGAAGAAATAAAAATAGAACCCAGTCAGAACAGTGTACCATTGATTACAACTAGAAGGAAATTTGTCAGGCAACGATTACTAGCGGAAGTAACACATAAGCTGTCTCTTCAAAGATTAATGAAATCTCACTGTTGGAATGAGAGAGAATTCCAGGTTCAATGGACTATATGAACCAAAAAAAAAAAATGCAGTCTGAAAATGTGGTTAGCTGTTCCTTTTTTAATTCCATATTCAACACTGTAGTTAAACTATAAATTACCTTAACAGGTAAGATATTACCACTCATCCTCTTCCCTTTTTAAACCATTCTACATAAAGCATAAAAGTAATCACTCTAAAGCACAGATCTGAACACAGTGATTCTTTGTTCAAAAACATTCAATAGTCCTACTCTGCCTACAAGACAATATTGAAATTCCTTAGACTGGAATGTTAGGCCTCTCACAATCTGTCCCTGTTTTTCCTTTTCTCCCTGATTCACCTTGAGTCATGATTCCTCTAAACTGAAGCTACCCCAGATTATCTGCAGCTCCTAACCAGGCATGTTGAAATGTCTCCATCTGGACTCTGGCCCATCTTTAAGACCCATGTCAAAGGCTTCCTTTGGAAGTATAACCTTTCCATATGCCTATTATCTGACTTACTACACTCTATCTTATGTTACATTCCTGCTTGTCTGTCTCCATTACAGACTATAAGCTATTTGAGAGATGACCCCACCCTACAGGCAATAATATCAAAGAAAATACATTATAGCAAATCTTTGAGTTCTATGGCTAGGTACTATAAAGGCACCGATCATTACAATGCAATGCAACGAGAGCAATAATAGACAACTATTCCGAGTGTATTCTGAGAGAATCACTTAGCCTGCAGAAGTTCAAGATGACTTCCCACAGAAGACCACATCAACTGATCTTACAAGATGAGTATGGAGAAGATACAGGCAAAACATACACAAATATGAAACAACTATATGTGAGAACTACAAACAATCTGACGTTGCTGGAATATAAAATATGAACCTGGAGGTGGCAAAGTATGAGGCTGAAAAGAGCTTTCTATACTGTGTTAAGAACATGACACTGTAAGCCTGAGGTTTAGAACTACAAAGCATCAACGCATGCTGTGTCAAACCCAAGTTAATTTATACTGAAAGTCATTTTTAAAATGTAATTAATTAAACAGGTGATACAGTCACGTCAAAAATCAAATAAATTGAAAAGGGATACAGCAAAGAGTCTCATCCCCACCCATCAATCACCTGCCAGTTCATACTCTCCTTCCTCCAGTAAAGTATTAACCCATTGCCATCAAGTCAAGTCCGACTCAGAGTGACCCTACAGAACAGAGTAGAACTGCCCCATAGAGTTTCCAAGGAGCAGGTGGTGGATTTGAACTGCTGACCTTCTGGTTAGCAGCCAAACGCTTAACCACTGTGCCACCAGGGCTCCTGTTTTGCCTTCCAGAGTTCCTTTATGCCAATATAGGCAAATACAATTATAATCTTATTTTCTCCCCTTTCACACAAAAAAGTACAGAATGCTCTGCACCTTGCTCTTTTCCCTTTTTATTGCAGTTATTTTTCAAAATAAATATATAGCTTCCAATTCTTTCTCAACTGCATATTCCACTGTTTGCTGTACTATAATTTACTCAGCCAATCACCTATTAACGGACATTTGGGCTTTTTTCTACTCTGTTGCAATATGTTGTTTCGGTTGACATATATGAAGAAAATCCAGCCTCGTGCAGACATAAGTAGAAAACCATTATTGTGGACAATCTTCAAATCTCTTGTTAGTACAAACAAAACTCATGTGAATAACCTTATATCATTAGGAATATGCATAAATGTATCTGTAGGATATATTCCCTGAAGTGGTAACATACATCTGTAATTTCAATACATATTACCAAATTGCCCCCAGAGGGATGAAACCAATTTTGACTCCTCACCAACAATGCCTGACCAGGCGGTGCCTGGTTCTCCAGGGCAACGGCAGACTCCTGGGTGCCCTCTACCCTATAAAATCCTAATGAAGGAAGAAGAATCCAGAAGGAAAATATGCTCTGACATACGAAGAGGTCAGGAAAAACAGGAGATTATGGGTTTCTAGAGGACAAGGGTCTCTGGGTTGTGCAAATGGTTAACGCGTTCAGCTGCTAAGGGTCACTATGAGTCGGAATCAACCGGACTGCACACAGTAACAACAACAAAGGACAAGGGTTTCTGGGTGGTGCCAGTGGTTAACATGCTCAGCTACTAACCAAAAGGTTGGAGGTTGGAGTCCACCCAGAGGAAGAAAGGCCTGGTGATCTACTTCTGAAAAATCAGCCATTGAAAACCCTATGGAGCACCGTTCTACTCTGACACACATGGGGTTGCCATGAGTCGGAGTCGACTTGATGGCAAAAAAAGAAAAAAACAAGGGAGAAAGTATGACTGCTTATCAGTTTCAAATACATAGCAGAGATTTAATAAAATAGATAACTAAGACATAAAACGAATTAAAGCAGTATGATGCTCATGCAAAAATTGAACAGATCAGGATAGCACAGGAAGAAAACATATATAATGAAGAACAAAGGCAATTAAGAATAAAGGAAATACTATTCTCCACTGAAATAAACCAGAGCTCGCTGGAGAAAAGGCTCGTTCTAGGGCTGAGTCAGGGAAAGTATATGAGAAGCCTAGAATATCTCGTACCAGAAAGAAAAAGAGCCCTCAAAAATAAATGGGGACATGTCTAAAGAATACAAGAGCTGGTGTGAAGGGGCTTCCACAGGCCAAATTTAGGATAATTTAAGCATTTCAGAACATTGATAATGAAAGATTATAACTCAATGAAAAAACAGGGTTTTTTTTTTGTTAGGGAGAAAGACATCTCTTTCTCATAGTAAAAAGTCAACTGCAAAATGAAAAAGGAAAGACAATTTGAAAGTCACCACTAATAATTAACAAATGATTCCAGCAAGAACCATCAACGGATATGGAAACCAGCAGGCCAAAGTTTGAGAAGTAACCCATATATTTATGTAGTCCCAAAGTATCTCACTACAAGATTCTTATTAATTACAAAGGGAAAAACAACAACTTTATAATGGAAAAGACACTTGGTAGACACCACCTTAACCAGGTGATCAAAGTTATCATCACCAGAACTGGGACGAATCGACATCATGTGCTTCTTGATTGAAGCAGACTTAGACATGACCATTAAATTGAACTGATGACCCAGGACCTTGTTTTAGAGGTGGAGGGCTGTAAAGGCAATTATTGACAATATCTGGGTAATATTATTGTATTAATGTGAATTTCTTTACTTTGACAACTGTACTTTAATATGTAAATAATGTCTTTGTTTCAGGAAACAATTCATAATGTAAGGTAAAAGGGGCATCACATCTGCAGTTTGCTCTCAAATGGTTCAGAAAAAATATACATATTTAAATATAGATGTCCCTGGGTGGAGCAAATGGTTAAGCACTCAACTACTAACTAGAAGGTTGGTGGTTTGAATCCACCCAGAGACCCCTGGAAGAAGGGCCTGATGATCTGCTTCCCAAAGGTCACGGCCTTGAAAACCTTATAGAGCACAGCTCTACTCTGCTACACGTGGGGTCACCATGAGTTAGAATCGACTCAACAGTAACTGGGCTTTTGGTTTCCATTAAAGTATCATTTTAAAATGTATTTTTAAATATATTTAAAATCTGTTGATATAAATATATGTTAAATATCATAGACAGAGAGGAAGGGTGGCAAAGAGAGAGAGAGAGGGAAGGACAGAAGAAGAAAAGGAAGGGAAGGGAGAGAGAAAAAGGATAACACAATTGTGGGAAAATG